GATGAGCATGCACATTACTGATGTTTAGCACCTGAGGAGGACAAAATTGAGGAATATTTGACACAGAGACACAAATTAGGTCTTTTATATTTTGATTCTTTGCATTGCATGAATTGTATGGCTTTTGCACCATAAACCACACACTGTCTGTACTGTCTGTCTTACTGAATGACACATTGACATTGTGTGATAGTACAATGAAGTGTCAGTATGTACTGGTTGTTTAAATTGGTGTCTTTGTTTACTGTCAACACTGTATTCTTGCTCCTGATCTAGCTAAATAAATGGTGCCCATTCCAAATATTTTTGTGGGTCTATTCTTATTCTAAGATTACCATGACATACAATTTACATATTGACAAGTTGTTGAAAAGACCATCTTAAAAATGTTACTCGGCACAGTTTGTTGTCCATGATGAGAATAGATCTGTGTATGTTTTACTGCCCTTCCATCCCCAGGGACCCAGTAGAGTCCTTTGGAAGAGCAAAACAATTTAACATTTCAAATGGCTGTAAATCACAGTCTGATTATAGTTTTAAAGAGAAATTTGGCAGGACAGCTACTTATGCTATGTTAACGAAATAATGTTGGACAGAGTTTTCAAACATATATGGAAAGGTGGTGTAAAGGTGTTTAAAAAAGTGCTCTTAGTAAAATACCAAATTTCAGCCTGCCCCTTAAATATGCCATAAATGTTTGCACAATGAACATGTTTAGATGACCCTTTGTTAAAAAAAGATTGTATTTTCCCTCATGTTATTAATAAACATTTTAAACTACATTTCCCATAAGCCTCTGCCATTCTATCGCTAGAACGCGAAAAAAAGTGGCGCTGGTATTTGTAGTTTAATGAAGTCATGCTTAGGGTTAGGGTTACGATCTCGGTAAAGAGGTAATTTCTCACGACATAGCCACACTGCATTGTTAACTGAAGGTATTACTGACGTAATAATAACAGCAAAACGGACTTTGCAACATTAAGCAGGTTTTAATTTCGGTTAAAAGACAGTCCAATCACAGCGAGTTCTGCGAGTGCCAAGGGAACTTCAAAGCCAATAGCAACCCAGTTGAGCAAAGGTGTCACAGTTACTTGTCCATATGTGGTCATTTATGACAGGATCTTCCGGGTTCTTGTGATGAATGGACAGAATCTGTTAAAGATTTATTTGTCCCCAGTTAATATAAAACTGCAACAGATTGCATCGTGGGGTTAACCTGATGCAGCAATAGATTTGTTGATTACAATGATTGTTTTTTCAACAAGGGCATAATGGTTCCCATTGTATAGGCTACATTGTTTACACTAATATTAATTAATGTACAATATTTAAACTCAAAAGTTTGCATATACTGTGTAAAAAATGAATTATAAAAGTCAAAATGTTTCATTTGCTTACAAACCCCGAATTTTCCAATGTTTATTGATATGTCAAACTTTTCCCAGATAAACATAGTGCCCAGAACAGCAGTCTCCAGTTTGTGCCACTATGAAAATAATGAAAACAAAAAAAAGCAGTTGATTATAAAAATGTATTTGCATAAAGGTAACTAAGAAAAATGCAACAGAAAACCCCTTTAAAAACATAGTCTAATATTCAAAAATAAAAAGAGAATTTGTTTACAGAAATCGTGACAAAAGATGCCAAACAATATTCAAGGCTCCAGTTGAAAATATATAATTTTCTTCCCTTTAACAAACAAATGAAAAAAATTATTAAGAACAATGCTTCAATATTTTACAATTATTACCTTTAAAAATATATCTCCTGTAATCACTGTTTGCTTCTATTGTGACTAAATTAATGGTTAATAACAATTATAATTTTATAATGATAGTGACAGGAGTGCTTATAGTAGAGATGGGAGTGATGACTGTAGAGGAGAAATTAATACAAGTAGACATGCTAAGACTGGAAGTTGGCAGTAAAGGACTGAGAGCAGATGTGCCACATGAGAGAGAGAGATGTGGAAACTTTTGGACGGGCTGATATTGTGCAGAGCTGATGGAGAAGGACTAAGTAATCTGTGAGAAATCCTGCAAGAAGAAACAAAGAGAATTTATCACATGATGAACAACAAAAACACTGACAACAACAAATGGCAGACAACAACATACCGTAACTGCAGAGTGTATAACAGTCAAAGTGCTCAGACCGACACAGACGTACCATTGGAAGTGTTTGCCTTTGCAGCTTTTGGTCTTCTCCATAAACGCACAAGATGGTCAAATTCAAATCCCATGACAGGCCTTCCTTTGGTCTTCCCTTTCAGCTGAAATGAAGGGAAATATAAACATGTTGAGACAGTGTGTTAAAAATTATCTGTGACCAAAATATTTGATTAACACATAATATAAGGATGCGTTCATTAAAGGAAATCAGTTTTAACTAAATGTCTTCAACATTACCTTTGAAGGACTTCTTCAGCCTCCTTGACAGCTTCTTCAAGATCAGCATTGGGAGCGTCGAGTTGAAGTTCCCTGTTAATTCTAGCAGAGAGAGAGAGAGAGAGAGAGAGAGAGAGAGAGAGAGAGACGT